TCCAAAATAATGAAGCAATAAAGTGTCTCTCGTGTATCGAGGGATAATTGATACGAATTGAGAATATTCATATTAGGAATATTAATTACTCAGACATAGATGGGCCCTTTGACAAGATCCTCTGTAAAAGGGGGCTGAAAGATGGCTACTATCCATTTTCAGGAGCGTCGCTTTGGGGTCGATACTCAAAAACAAATATGTCTCGGTATTCATTAATGTTAAAAATGTTTCCGTTTGTCCTCGGTCGCTGATTTAATTTTTTTTTAGGACGAATTAATTGAGCTCCTGAATTAAGTGTGTGCATGATATTGCTGTGCAGTTTGGATGAAAATGAACTCTAGGAATTGCTATCTACTCTATCAGATTGAAACCGTATTAGAATAATTGACGAATAATTAGACTAATGATGGGCAATTTTACAAAGGAGCTAATTACACGATCTATTTGAAAATGCAGTAGTGGTGCATATAATGGATTGGTTTTTACCAATTATGACTTCCAAGTGCGTATAGTGTGTCCCACCAGAAGGGACACTGATGTGTCTGGTGTTGGGGGGGGGGCATTGAAATTAGGAAGAGGATGACAGTGCGAGAGAACAGGGCCATAGAGTTAGGGTAGGGTTATGGAAGAGTTTTCGTCATCTTCTTCTCAAGTTCCCCCCCCCTTCTCTCTCTCTATGTATCGCTCTCTATCGCTCTTTCTCCATCACTATCTCTCTCTATCACTCTTTCTCCATCACTATATCTCTATCACTCTCTCTCTCTCTATCACTCTCTCTCCATCACTATATCTCTATCACTCTTTCTCCATCACTATCGCTCTCTATCACTCTTTCTCCATCACTATCTCTCTCTCTCTCTCTCTCTCCATCACTATCTCTCTCTATCACTCTTTCTCCATCACTATCGCTCTCTATCACTCTTTCTCCATCACTATCTCTCTCTCTCTCTCTCTCTATCACTCTTTCTCCATCACTATCTCTCTCTCTCTCTCTCTCTCTATCACTCTTTCTCCATCACTATCGCTCTCTATCACTCTTTCTCCATCACTCTCTCTCCCTATCACTCTTTCTCCATCACTATATCTCCCTATCACTCTTTCTCCATCACTATATCTCTATCACTCTTTCTCAATCACTATCGCTCTCTATCGCTCTTTCTCCATCACTATCTCTCTCTCTCTCTCTATCACTCTTTCTCCATCACTATCGCTCTCTATCACTCTTTCTCCATCACTCTCTCTCCCTATCACTCTTTCTCTATCACTATCTCTCCCTATCACTCTTTCTCCATCGCTATCTCTCCCTATCACTCTTTCTCCATCACTCTCTCTCCCTATCACTCTTTCTCCATCACTCTCTCTCCCTATCACTCTTTCTCCATCACTATCTCTCCCTATCACTCTTTATCCATCACTCTCTCTCCCTATCACTCTTTCTCCATCACTATCTCTCCCTATCACTCTTTCTCCATCACTATCGCTCTCTATCACTCTTTCTCCATCACTCTCTCTCCCTATCACTCTTTCTCCATCACTATATCTCCCTATCACTCTTTCTCCATCACTATCGCTCCCTATCACTCTTTCTCCATCACTCTCTCTCCCTATCACTCTTTCTCCATCACTATCTCTCCCTATCACTCTTTCTCCATCACTATCGCTCTCTATCACTCTTTCTCCATCACTCTCTCTCTCTATCACTCTTTCTCCATCACTATCTCTCCCTATCACTCTTTCTCCATCACTCTCTCTCCCTATCACTCTTTCTCCATCACTATCTCTCTCTATCACTCTTTCTCCATCACTATCTCTCTCTATCACTCTTTCTCCATCACTATCTCTCTCTATCACTCTTTCTCCATCACTATCTCTCTCTATCACTCTTTCTCCATCACTATCGCTCTCTATCACTCTTTCTCCATCACTATCTCTCTCTATCACTCTTTCTCCATCACTATCGCTCTCTATCACTCTTTCTCCATCACTATCTCTCTCTCTCTCTCTCTCTCCATCACTATCTCTCCCTATCACTCTTTCTCCATCACTATCGCTCCCTATCACTCTTTCTCCATCACTCTCTCTCCCTATCACTCTTTCTCCATCACTATCTCTCTCTATCACTCTTTCTCTATCACTATCTCTCTCTATCACTCTTTCTCCATCACTTTCTCTCTCTATCACTCTTTCTCTATCACTATCTCTCCCTATCACTCTTTCTCCATCACTATCTCTCCCTATCACTCTTTCTCCATCACTATCTCTCCCTATCACTCTTTATCCATCACTATCTCTCTCTATCACTCTTTCTCTATCACTATCGCTCTCTATCACTCTTTCTCCATCACTCTCTCTCCCTATCACTCTTTCTCCATCACTATCTCTCTCTATCACTCTTTCTCCATCACTCTCTCTCCCTATCACTCTTTCTCCATCACTATCTCTCTCTATCACTCTTTCTCTATCACTCTTTCTCCATCACTCTCTCTCCCTATCACTCTTTCTCCATCACTATCTCTCTCTATCACTCTTTCTCCATCACTATCTCTCTCTATCACTCTTTCTCTATCACTATCTCTCTCTATCACTCTTTCTCTATCACTCTTTCTCCACCACTCTCTCTCCCTATCACTCTTTCTCCATCACTATCTCTCTCTATCACTCTTTCTCCATCACTATCTCTCTCTATCACTCTTTCTCTATCACTCTTTCTCCATCACTCTCTCTCCCTATCACTCTTTCTCCATCACTCTCTCTCTCTATCACTCTTTCTCCATCACTCTCTCTCCCTATCACTCTTTCTCCATCACTATCTCTCTCTATCACTCTTTCTCTATCACTATCTCTCTCTATCACTCTTTCTCCATCACTTTCTCTCTCTATCACTCTTTCTCTATCACTATCTCTCCCTATCACTCTTTCTCCATCACTATCTCTCCCTATCACTCTTTCTCCATCACTATCTCTCCCTATCACTCTTTATCCATCACTATCTCTCTCTATCACTCTTTCTCTATCACTATCGCTCTCTATCACTCTTTCTCCATCACTCTCTCTCCCTATCACTCTTTCTCTATCACTATCTCTCTCTATCACTCTTTCTCCATCACTCTCTCTCCCTATCACTCTTTCTCCATCACTATCTCTCCCTATCACTCTTTCTCCATCACTATCGCTCTCTATCACTCTTTCTCCATCACTCTCGCTCCCTATCACTCTTTCTCCATCACTATATCTCCCTATCACTCTTTCTCCATCACTATATCTCCCTATCACTCTTTCTCCATCACTATCTCTCCCTATCACTCTTTCTCCATCACTATCTCTCCCTATCACTCTTTATCCATCACTATCTCTCTCTATCACTCTTTCTCTATCACTATCGCTCTCTATCACTCTTTCTCCATCACTCTCTCTCCCTATCACTCTTTCTCCATCACTATATCTCCCTATCACTCTTTCTCCATCACTATCGCTCCCTATCACTCTTTCTCCATCACTCTCTCTCCCTATCACTCTTTCTCCATCACTATCTCTCCCTATCACTCTTTCTCCATCACTATCTCTCCCTATCACTCTTTATCCATCACTATCTCTCTCTATCACTCTTTCTCCATCACTATCGCTCTCTATCACTCTTTCTCTATCACTATCTCTCTCTATCACTCTTTCTCCATCACTATCTCTCTCTCTATCACTCTTTCTCCATCACTATCTCTCTCTATCACTCTTTCTCCATCACTATCTCTCTCTATCACTCTTTCTCCATCACTATCTCTCTCTATCACTCTTTCTCCATCACTATCTCTCTCTCTCTCTCTCTCTCCATCACTATCTCTCTCTCTCTCTCTCTCTCCATCACTATCTCTCTCTCTCTCGCTCTCTATCACTCTTTCTCCATCACTATCTCTCTCTCTCTCTCTCTCTCTATCACTCTTTGTCCATCACTATATCTCTCTATATCTCTTTCTCCATCACTATCTCTCTCTATCACTCTTTCTCCATCACTATCTCTCTCTCTCTCTCTCTCTATCACTCTTTGTCCATCACTATATCTCTCTATATCTCTTTCTCCATCACTATCTCTCTCTCCATCACTCTTTCTCCATCATCATCTCTCCCTCTCTTTCTCATCTTTATTGTTCAACTATCATTCCCCGAGTCTCTTGAGGAGTGACCTATACACATGTCTTACACAGACACTTAATTCTTCTCATCTCAACAGACACTAGCCTATAATCTAGGCGGAGTGCCGAGATTTTTCCTTTGCTGCTAGACTAACCTTAAGCAGAACGTCTGATACGGTGAGACTACGAACCGTGAGCCGCGCACCGCCTATAGTCACTGGTCTAGCTTTAGTCGTTGTTTTTTTATTATCGACCTTGAATCCGTGGCAGTTTTTCGTACGAAAACTGGCACGGATTCAAGGTCGATAATAAAAAAAAACAACGACTAAAGCTAGACCAGTGATTATAGGCGGTGAGCCGCTTCGCGACTCACGGTTCGTAGTCTCGCCGTATCAGACGTTCTGCTTAGGGTTAGTCTAGCAGCAAAGAAAAAAGCTCGGCACTCCGCCTAGATTATAGGCTAAACAGACACCAATATAATCAAATCAGTCAAGAATATTAAAGGTAAAGACCAGTATTGGTAACGCCCCAATTTCAAAAAATGAAATGGAAGCTCTCATTACCAATCATGTGAAAGAATATGTTTTGACTAATACATGATGATAAAAAATTTGCCGGGAAACCGCCTACTAATTCATATATTTGGTAAATTTATTTCTCTCATGGTCGTGTGAGAGAGATAGGGTAGTCCCATATACATCTTTCTGTGTATAGTGCTTGTAACTTTACGAAGAATGGGCCAAATTTCTTATCATTTTGATGATTCCAGAACCTTGCAGATGCTAGATGCTAGATGATCAACCTTTTCTGATCGATTCCACAACGTTTCTTTCACAATGCAATCGCATGACCATTACTGGTCTTTACCTTTAATACCATATCTTCATATACTTGATATCTATGTATGTAAATAAGCAGTCATTGCATACAATATGATTTAAAGAATTTGGTTTCATGATCACACCTTTGGTTATTGTACATGGAATTATCTTACAGATTTCAGCATTGGATCGTATCTAATAATCTAACAGTTAATTAAACAGAAAATTAATATGATTCATCTTCACACATACGAAAAAGAAAAAGCCCCCTTCCCACCTCGAGTCACATTGTCAAAATTTAAAGGTCAAACAATCACCTTTCTCTCAGTGTATAAAACTACTTTTAAAAAGCAAAAACTGATATCACTTTACATAAACGTAACAAAGACAAATTTTCTCAATATGATCCTTGAACTTGGTTCTATATATAATTTGGAAGGTCCTCTAAAACAAAACAAAAATGATAAAATACATCACCATGACACCCAGCAGGGTTGCCTTTTTAAGGACATATCAAAGTCCTATTGGTGGAAATTGTCACATCTACATGTATTTAACAATTCTATTAAGACAAAAACATAAACTTGAATGTGAAATTTTAAAAAAATTGAAAAAGAGTTGAACATAATACAAAATATTTTCAGGAAAATGCTGATATAAAAGTGCAATAATGGATCATTGAAATATGAATACATGTATGGAAATAATAATGATGCTTACTTTAATTGTTAATTGTTAATTTCACATAAATAATACAAAATTGTTTAAGCCATCCAAAATTGTTAAACTTGATTAGATGATTAGAAATATCTTTGAAATAGCTTTATGATAACAGTTTATAAATTCAAATAATTATGATCATTATTGCTATTGTTATTATTATTAATATTATTATGATTATAATTATTATTATCTCTTAATGAATTGGTTGAACATGTGGATAGAGTTTGGTACGAAGGATTGGCGGAAGCGTGCTCGGTTTGTGCGTGGGACGTTTAATCAAATTCCAGAACGGTTGAAAGAATACTGGGTGTTGAGAGGGTGACTTTGATCTTTCATGATTTTGTTTGTTTTGGACATGAGTCTCTGTTCGAACAAACAATTTATATCAGTCAAAGGCACACTCCCCCTCCTCTCGTCTTTCCCGACTCTCTCGTTCGATCTCCTCTCACAAAATCTGACTCTTAGAGGAGAATAACCACAAAAACTATCGAAAAAGTAGGAGACAAAATGCTGATGGTGGTCGCCAGCTGAGCGGCGCCCTATATCAATTTAATAATACATATCTATATGGCATAAAAATATATCGAGAAAAACCTTTGTACCTAAATGTTTATATAAAAATTTTGATTTTAAAATCTTCCATCTGCTTTGCTTCTATCACTGAGTGAGTGAACATTCATTTCAGATTCTGGATGACATGCGGCCCCATAGTCTGAGTCTGCTTATACCACCGTCTGGTTTCATGGTCAATCGGATATGAGTGACAGGTCCGATGTTGGTCAATGCATCCTTTCTGTAGTGATGTCTCTTGTGGGCAGAAAGCTAGAAGAAATCAATCAGAAGACATCGATTCAAAACATATCTTAAAGAGAAGGTTGAGTTCTGGGAAGAGGTGAAAAATAATTTGTGAGCGCTATCATTCTTATTATGCAAGTGTCGAAGAGCATCAGATAAGACATGTTCCCTGAAAAGCATGGCTCTTCAAATGCCTTCATATTCTAAATATGTCTTGTAACATCGTAAAAATCCAGGGTGGGATTTTTACGCCACGTCTTGGTGTAGTCCCATATACACATTTCTGCGTACAGTGTTTGTAACTTTACCAAGACTTGGCCAAATTTCTTATCATTTTGATGATTCCAGAACCTTGCAATACACACAAATTCTTATATGCTAGATGATCAACCTTTTCTGGTCGATTCCACACCGTTTCTTTCACAATGCAATCGCATGACCAGAACTCAACTTCATCTTTAATGTACTCTCCAGTTGAAGCTACAATTAACGTAAGATGGGGGCAGGACCAAGAGACAAAGTCTATCTTTTTTGGCAAAGCAACTAAGTATGGAAAATACACAGAGCGCACAACCTACAAAGGGACAAACATGTATCAACACTAAGATTTAGACAAATCTTGAATATTTTTTTTTCTTCTTTTTTTTCCCTTCAAAGTCAACCTTCATAAAGCAGTGTCCTGTGATATCACATTTATAAAATCAATGATCATGTTTTGAATTTCAAGATGAAAAGCTTTATATAGTGGAAACAATTGTTTGATACAGATTAAAATTATTAAAGGGCTAAATAACTAACAGTGAACCACATTTTAAACAAAATAAACTCTCATTAAAACAAAGTAATATTCCTTGTTCCTCTTCTTTGTAGTCTCTTGTGTTTAGCCAGGCAAGTTCACTTCTTTGGTCCGAGGAGTTTGCTGTGACAAGGTTCCCCTCTAACTAACATTATTAATAATTGTAAAACCACAAAACTACACACACATGAAATGTTCTTGACTTTTGTAAGTGGCTAACATTCACGAAAGATTCATGCCCTTGATAACTGAATCAAAAAACTGACTGAATTCTGGGGCTTTCATTGTATTTCTTTCCATGACAATCACCATTGTTTATTATTTAAGAAAGTATCATGCCCTTAATAACTCAACCACAACAAAATTGAATACAAAATTTAAAAAATCAAAACTGGGGTTTCATGGAAAAAAAATTCTATGAAAATCCCTTTAATTTGCCATTCAAGAGAGTTTCATGTGACAAATCTCTCTGGTTTTACAGTTATGCGACAGAACCATCAGCAAAACGAGCAAGCTTACCTTGGCAGGTGGTAGAATGGCTCTCCAGTCGAAGGAATCAAAATCACCGTGAGGTCTGTCTGGCCTAGCAGTCTGACCATACTTCTCCTCTTGCTCTGTCAGGACACATCCTGTTCAAACAATACGGATGGTATAGAACTCTCAAATCTGGGCCATATCTTATAAACATTTCTAATTGATTCAGATCAACTGTAACTTGATATCAATCACAGTTCTGTACTAAAGAATTTCCTTTTTTCTGTCTATTAAATAAGTAATAATTCATCAAATGTAAATATTTTTTTGTCATAAAATCACTAGAGACAGACTTTTTACCTAAGTTCTGTCTTGTCTCCAAATACTTTCATTAAAGTACATGTTTAAATGTTTCCTTCTTGTTATTCTAATGTTACATATTGATATTATTGTGTTACTTTCATATTTCTGTTTGCATTCATATATTTTAATGAAAGTATTAAATCAAGTAAACTGAACTTAACTGGAAAAAATGAGACGAGAGTCAATATACAGCTTGTGAATGGTTGGAGGAATTCAATCTGGATCAATAGCACATTATTATAAGACAGGTACCTGCTGTAGGTTAGCAAGTAGGTATCCAGAGCTATATAAAGCCCCACTGTTCTACATGTAGCTACTTGCTCCCTCTATATAGAAACAATGCCTAATCAGTGACCATTGGTCCCCCATGATCCTCTTCTTCTTATGTTAATTGAGAGCTGAGTTAATGAGATAGCCACCTGTCATTGACCACGCTGTGTGGTCTAATCCCTCCCAGCCAAACTAGTACAGTTGACCTTTAAAATGCTTTGTACGTTTATATATTAGAAATTTAAGAGGGCCATATTTCCAAGTTTCGTTTTTAGGCAAAAGAGGATACATCATTATGTGAAAAACTGAGTAAACGTAATCATTTTGCTCTTGAAATGCAACTTACCTTCAACTGTACAGGAATCTGGGTAATTCCCTTTAAAATGATTTGTATCCACTTCAATCTGTAATAGACAATATTGAGAATATTAAAAACATTGACACAAATCAAATAATCACAAACTCTGATTGGGCATGTTTACTTTTGTAACGTGATAGTAAGGACAAATACATTTATATAGAATTGCATGATTAATTATTATTGCACATACACTATGTAAATAAAACCAATTTTGCCCAGATTTAACTACTTTAAAGCCCTTCTGCACTAGTTTGGCGAGGGGGAATTAGACCTTCAAGGTCACTGACAGGTGGTTATCTCATCAAATCAGCTCTCAATTAACATAAGAAAAAGAGGATCATGGGGGACCAACAGGCACCGATTAGGCATTGTTTGCTATCTAGAGGGCGCAAGTAGCTATAAGTAGTGCAGTGGGTCTTTAACAGTCCTTGTCTTTTTAACCAAAGGTTCAAAATGCAGCTATATACGAGCTGGCTAGCTAGCCAGATTTAAAATAGGTCAGGTCATGCCAGCCTGGCATTGTAGCCTGTCTCTGAACAGAGCAAGCACACCTGCACATTAACACAAAGGGACCTATTCTACTAATGAATTAATTAATTAATCCATCTCTAGTGCACAGATCACATTTAATAAAAGAAGATTTAGTCCCAACTTATTTTGTTGAACAGCGGTCCAAATAGAGTAATACTGCAATATGCTTTCCATTCCTCTGTACAGGACAACACTGTACAGAATCACAGTATGTCCACAGGTCCATAAGTATTGGACATGTGTATGTGTTAATCTATTCCTTTATTTAGTATAGCGAAAAATAAAAACCTGTATTGTTAGTAATGTAATGCTTGGAAAAAAAATTGTGAGAGTGATTACAAAGAATGGAAATCCAACAGAGAGCTTGTTCAAAAACAAAGGTCGACACATGAGATGCTAAAACCAAGGCTGATGAAGAAACCCAGGAGCTACCTGGGAGCTACCTGTCAAACTCAAGTGCCAATTTTCAGACTTTTTGAGATAATCTTGGTAAAAGTCATGATCAAAGATGGATATTGTCGAAGTGACAAGTTCATGGGATGTCATTAACTCTTTGTGCGTTTGCCCGTAAACCCCTTGTGCGTTGCATTAATTTGCAGCGTGTATGAATAGTACATAGTGTGACTTGTGCACAAATGCGATCAAAACGCAGGGCCAACGGTGCACTGGTGTGAAAAGAACGCATAAAGAGTTAAGCAGACAGTATGATAATAGACTTACCCTCTCTATAATGCCCTTTGTACCAAGGCGAAACACGGCCCAATCTCTGCTTGTGAATTCCAACACACCATCACTACCCATCTCAAGGATTGCTGGTCTGTCACGCTGAATCAAAAGCATATAACAAGGTGACACAAAGACTCCTCATTATTATCTTCCACTTTACACATAGTCCCATATGCATGCTTGCACAACTATTCACAATGTTAGACTACATTAAAAAAAACAAATGGGAGAGGGGCACGTACAACAAGGACAGATAATAGAAAAGGCTCAATTCATTGAGAATGGAGCAATACCAATATGAGGCTTCTTCCTCTGGAGTTGATCAATAATCATCATGGTTGTGTGCTTTGTTATTTCTCTCCTTATCCCACAGTGTATCACTTTGTTGTTAAGCTGTCTCCCCCTCACATTCATACATTATTTTCATAAAAAGCTAAGGGATTTCACTGCCTGAAGAAAATATACTTTGTTAATTATGTAAGGTTCAATTCCTTGCATGTGTTAATATGAAATATTCTTCCCTCCTTGCGAAAAAGTTTACTCCTTTAATAGTTAGGTATCATATATTTTTTTTTCTTTTTCTCGGGGGGAAGGGGGGGGGGGTTCATGTCTCCCAAAAATATATGAATTACTGTGGGGTATTTTAAATTGAATACGCAGTTTAAAGGTAGATCAAGACAGTTAGGCTCATTCTGTGTCTTTAGCTTCCATACCTGTCTAGCTGTCTCCCATCCGTCAGCCATTGTCACAGATCTTTCCTTGGTGATTAAGTTCTTAGGGAAGCAGAACTTGGCATCACTGAATCCGACGCACACTCCACCATTCTCTACTGCTACCAGATCAATCAACTGAACAAAGAAAGTGATCAAAAACAAAAACAAATCAGTCACAGTGCTGCCCATCAATTTGCATCTCATTAACACCTTTTTTTTCTTCTTCAAAGCTGGACTTCTAGCGGCATGTGCGCTTGCTTTGATCAAAATGACAAAACAATGCATCTAAATTGCATCCATATTTTCAGGATTCATGAGTCAGAACTTCCCACATAAACTAATTACCGGTAGTAATTCAAAATGTTTGTATGAAGAAAAATGAAATATGATGTCTGTTTTATCAAGTTATCGCATTATTTTTTAAATCAAACCATCCGAAAACTAGGTGTCTAATTTCTCTGACAGAACTCCATGCAAGATGCATTATTCATGAAACTTGATTTCCCTATTCATGAATGTGTACGATCCCATATTTGGAGAAAATTTTGACGATTGACTTCTTTCGAGCAGCAAATTGTGTGCAGTAATACCAAATACACGATCTGCAAATATTCTTCTGCATCATCAGCCATTCAGAGATTGTGCAAGCCGTGAAGCGTTTAGCTTACACACATCGCAACATCATTACATACATTAATTTCAATTGGTGGGACAATGTTGTGGTATTTTACGTCCAGTTGAATTTCCATGTCTTTTCTGCTTTCTAATTTCAATTTACCATTGAAAACTTGAAAGGTAAAATGATGATTTTAGAATACTCACAGAATTCTGATCAATTTCTGACCAGTTTGGTTTGGCATCACCGTAGACCCTCAGTCTTCCTATTCCACCATCTGAGCAATAGAATAACAATTTCATACAGTTTTTATTTCATATTTAAAACCCATTTGTCCCAAGCACCATATGCGAGGAAATAATCAAACGTCCCTTGAAATGGTTTGGCCATGTTCTACGCATGCCGCATCACCGCCTACCATACCAAGCATTCCAAAATGACTTTAATGCATGCAGACCTCGGGATGCCCTCCTACGAGATGGAAGGACCAGGTTCAATACGATGTGGGACTATCCACACAAGAGGCAGAGCAACGAGCCCAGGACAGATCAGACTGGAGCATGATTTCTCATAGGGGAGCAAGGAGACACACCGTCCTATGCACCTAATTAAGTCAAGTAAGTCAGTAACTGTATAAAACTGATTACACTGATTTAGTTTTAGTAAATCTGAGGTAGGTCAATTAACATAACGAAACACTTCTTTATTTGACAATTATGGTCTTGACAGGGCGCATAATCGCATTGTATCGTGTACTGTAGGTCAAAACCTAAGAGATATTTTGGAGTTTTTTTCAGGTTCCAATCTGGTTACGTGTATGGACAAAATATTACAAAAGTTCTAGTCCATGATTTTCTCTCTAACTCCCAGCACTAGTTTATAGTCCCTGATTTACAGGATCTTGTCAACAAATTGATAGAATAAGGCCATCATTAATGGATAGAAACAACAACAAATTTGTCAAAACAATGGATTTTAATCACAACCTAGCTGAATGTTTACCTGGAAACATATTGAGTCTGATATGGGTCCATCTTTTCTCGCTGTCGATGCTGAAATAGTTGTTACAGGTTTCCTCAGTACCAGACCTTAGGGGCTTCATTGGAATTATCTCCTCCCAAGACTGCAACAAAACAAAACAAAAGACATAAGCCATATACATCTGAGACTGAAATTACCATCAGTATCTATTCCACTTCTTGAAATACCAACTTCCCCCCTTACTGGATGTACACATAATACATGCACTATCTTTACTCTCTGCAGTTCACTCCGACAAATATTACGAAAGTAGGTACAAAACTTAATCACAATGGCTTTTAATTAATTTCCTGGCTATTAAGTGTTAAAATAATATCCTACAAAAACTAATACAGATATTATACTCAAAGTAAAGAGATAATAGGCTGTCCACTAACACCTGATGATTCAAATATTTCTCCTGAATTTGGAAGCACATTGACACAGGATTTATGCTGGGTCTTCATTATGGAATACTCTCCCTCAATGGATTAAGAATGGCAGCTCTGCTACAGTGTTAAAAAACAATCTTAAGAAATATATGTTTAATTTAGCTTATAATTGATTACCATAACCTTTCATGTCTGTACCTTTCCTATTGCACTCTGTATAAATGTATCATGTATGTATTTCATCTTTTACACAAGCTGCACCTTGAGCATTTGACTGTCAAGTGGATTTGGCGCCTTATAAATCTTATGTAATATTATTATTATTATTCATAATGTAGAGGGTGACTAATGCTCATTTAAATATTTTGAAATATCTGACCTCTGTTTGCAATTTCTTCATTTCCTCAAACTGTTCTTCAGTTGCTTTGGACCCCATAGCACTAGATCGATCTGGGAATTCCACATCTGTGAGAGAATCAAAACAGATTTGCAGTATTTTAGAATGTTTGACTACTTTCAATTTACATTAACTTAAAGTTTATAAAACCTACTTAAAAATAGATGATTGAGCACCTTCTAACAGACCAAGGGTACGTATATGATACATGTATTCATGTACGGTGTAATGCTTTTCTACAGTGGGTGTTCTTTATTGATTCAAGGATCACAAAGATATAATGATTAAGCTTGCACGGTTTTTCAACCACATATTTGTTGCATCTTCTAAAAACAGTACTGCAGATTATTGTATAGATAACACATACCGGTAATCATTTTAAAAACATGGCTATGACGAGTAGATTTATTCAAACATATTTAAAAAGTAGTGATATTTTATCAGAAGAACATGCAGTCACCTGTTATGATAGATTAGCTGTTTGGCAGCCAGTTATGGTGAGATGTTTTGGAGTGTTGTAAGACACATACATGTACTCTAGCCATAATTGCTCTGCAGTCGATTTTGTACACTGTACACTGTCTACAATATGAATTCTCGCTACTGCATAGACATAGCAAAATACATTCCCATAAAAACCATAATGCATTGCGCCTCCAATACCTCTGCGTTTTTGCAGACACACCAACTCCGGTGATTCTAAAACACATATTCTGCTATACTACGACATGCTATAATTCATTGTCTGCAAATTCTTGATCTTGCTCGATAGTGACAAATTTGGAAAAATACAAAATTAATAAGCATACTCTTTTAGTAAAAACTAATACACCAGCATTGGCAAACTCTGTGAAAAAACTTGGCATGCTGCAACACAATTGGCTTTTTTTCCCCAGACAGTAATTTTTAAGAATTTCCTGTATTAGATATACAGCAAGGTCACATATTTGAATATACCAAAGGTTTATATTCTTAACAAATTTACATCGATAGAGATGTAGGCAAAGCTACATTTTCTCATTCTTAGTCCTATTGACAGAAGTGTGAGTCAAATACAGTGTGGCCCGTTTTGACCGAAAGCTCACGTTACTGCAAAATCCTGGCAAATTCGCTTGTAAAATTAGAGCCGCACTTACAATGGCTTGTTTTCAGCTATATATGCGGTAGGGAGAATTGTAACCCTACACTCACCGCTATACCCAACCATTGACCTAAATCCAACCTCAAACCCAGTGCTATATTACGTACTGTAATTACACGGTGCAAACCTGTATATCAGAGCAAGTGTTGCTGAAACAAATGTCCGATCACCATTTTGGAAATCAAATTTAAAGGTAAAGACCAGTATTGGAAATGCCCCAATTTCAAAAAATGAAATGGAAGCTCTTATCACCAATCATGTGAAAGAATATGTTTTGAATAATACATGATGATAAAAAATTTGCCGGGAAACCACCTACTAATTGATATATTTGGTAAATTAGTTTATCAATTGGGATGTGAGAGATAAAAACGCATGTGTCGCGCACGTGTGTGTAGTTCCATATACATCTTTCTGTGTACAGTGCTTGTAACTTTATGAAGACTGGGCCAAATTTCATATCATTTTGATGATTCCAGAGCCTTGCAGTGCATCTATGCTAGATGATCAACCTTTTCTGATCGATTTCACAACGTTTCTTTCACAATGCAATCGCATGACCATAACTGGTCTTTATCTTTAAAATGAAATTAAAGGTTTTACCTGGTGTCAAACAAGCAGCCTGGATGGACAGTCTGGGTGTATAGTTTCCTGTGAAGTGTCTGGTGTTAGCATCGACACCACGGATGACACCTGGTATACCAAGTTTGATGATGCACCAGTCGTGACCCGGGATGCGTTTTCGTCTCGTTTCCCATCCATCCATCTTCTTACCGAAGTCAGTGAATTCACCTTCCCACCAAACAGGCTCATCCTCCTTCAAGCAACGTTATCAAAGGAAAAAGTTCATTAATTCACTGGAAAGATTCTTGAAATTATATGTAAGGCATAAGAAATATAATTTTTTTGGAGGTATCGTGGTATAGTGGATACATCACCGGACTGTGTGGATCACATGGTTCGTGGTTCAAATCCTGCTGCGACACTAATTTCTTTTGGCAAGACATTAATCTACATTTGCCACACGACACCCAGGTGAGATAAATGGGTACCCATTAGGAAGAAATTCCTTGAATGCTTTAGCGCCTTTTCATGGTAGCTTAGCTAAAACCAGGGTAATAGGATGATTGCAGGGCCCTCAAGGAGAACAGTATGAATACTGATGAGACTATCCTGGATAAACAAGAGATTTTATTATTATTATCATTATTAATATTATTATTAAAAACATAGATCTTATATTAAAAAAAAAAAAACTATCTTTAATCAGATTTAAACTACATGTAAATGTCATACAGGGAAAATCTTTTTTTAAATTATGACAACAAAACCACCCCCCCCCCCCCCATGAGGGCATGACTCCACAGCAGCAACATACATGTTACCATCTTTCATTTTCGACAAGTTGGACCTGTGTGGGGCTTACTGCTAGCCTTTCCATGAAAGTCTGAACGCAGCATAAACACATTCAAATCTGATGACTGAAAAACAATGATAGAAGAAACTTTGCCCACCTTAAGAAGATTTTCTGCGACAGCAAACCAGTCATCTGTGGCGAAAAGAACCTCTCCACCAACCTAAAAAAAAAGAAGAGAAATGCTGTAACGAAAATGACTTTACAATGTCCCTCTTGATTTTGCCTTTTTCTTGTCTTGTCTTCTTTATTAGTCATGAAATACATTTAATGTTAAAGGTAAAGACCAGTATTGGAAACGCCCCAATTTCAAAAAATGAAATGAAAGCTCCAGTCATGTGAAAGAATACGTTTTGACTAATACATGATGATAAAAAATTTGCCGGGAAACCGCACGTGTGCGTATAGTCCCATATACATCTTTCTGTGTACAGTGCTTGTAACTTTACGAAGACTGGGCCAAATTTATTATCATTTTGAGGATTCCAGAACCTTGCAGTACACACCAATACTTATATGCTAGATGATCAACCTTTTCTGATCGATTCCACAACGTTTCTTTCACAATGCAATCGCATGACCATAACTGGTCTTTACCTTTAAGATCACTGACAACTCTTTTTATTTTTACCACCTTCTTTTATTTACATTTTTTTTTTTACTCATTATCGCTCTAGAGTAAGGTCTTCTCATCATTATAGGGGAGAAAATACTGTATAAACCGCACTTTTTTGCCGCCGAAAAAAATTCAAAGTCGGGGGTGCGGTTACTACACGGTACACCAAATACACAAGGGCGGTTTATACAACGTTAATTACGGTAAGTAGAGAAGATGGGAGTAGATAAACCTACCTTGCGAGAGACGAGGTCCGTCAGATTGACAAAGCTGGGTAAATTTGCCATTTCCTTGATCCACAGCAACGCTGCAACAACCTTATTGCTATAGGCCTAGTATCATGGAAAAGGTCATAGGGAAAAAGAATAATAACAATTATTAGGACCATTTGAGTTAGACCTGACATTGTGAGCTCCTATTGTAGTAGACAGAAATTATCGTCCGGTCATTCTTTAAAAAAACTGACATTAGTCAACCTTCCCCATAGCAGACAGTACCCCTCCAACATTAAAGGGAGAATTTTTAATCCATTAATTTTGTTATTGGGGGGTCAGGGAGGAGGGGGGGGGGGCAGGCCCGTCGGGCCCCCCTCGTGGATCCGCGCCTGTTTGAAGACGTAAAGAGTGAAAAAACTTGTTGCATATCTCATTCATCTTGGTCCTGCCAAACCAACCTATTCCTTCCACACACTACCCTGTTATCTGTATCCGTACGACGTACTTCAGTCTATGTATAGACCCTAGGGGAGCCAGATGTCATCTCAGTGGAACCACCGTTGATATCAGAGACTGTAGAGATTGTAGTACCCAACTATCCATTCATTATTGGCTCATTTACACAGCCAAAACACCATTTTGAAAAATTGTCAATTTTTTGTACAACTAGTCTACAACAAGACCTAGATTCTACAATGAACTAGAGACGAAAGAGTCAATAAAATCAACTCAAATCATTACTGTAGCTAGGGTAGTCATTAGTCATTACTCAGACATTAGTACTTCTCAACAATACAGGCTTTTAGTTTTAGTTTTAAAGCTTAAAGTTAAACTTGAGTTCTGGTAAAAAAGAAAATGAATTCTCACAGAATCAAACAAAACTTACACTGAATGTTCAAGATTACAAATAAATGTCATGTGCCAAACAATTTTTGAAAGAAAATGTATACTGACTGAGTAATGAGCATAGAAATATAAGGAAATCAAGGTAAGCTAGCCCCGACACCATTTGTGTTGTCCCATATACATACATCTTTCTGTGTACAGTACTTGTTACTTTACCAAGACTGGGCCAAATTTATTATGATTTTGATGACTCCAGAACCTTGCAGTGCACACCAATACTTACATGCTACATGATCAACTTTTCTGATCCATTCCACACCTTTTCTTTCACAATGCAATCGCATTACCAGAACTCACCTTTATCTTTAACATTTTCACCCCCAAAAAATGACATTGTCATTCATTCTTATTTCAAGTCATGGACCACTGGGGCTTGTTCCTAGAAATCAACGACAAGACAGTCATAACTTTATCCACCAACTACGGAGATGTCTCTGATCTTCGTAAACCGTTTCACGAAGAGCTTACTAGCTAGTATCTCGTGAGATCGATACTATCGGCGAGAAGAGGAGCCACGACTTAGCCCTAGTTACAATACCACCGGATTATTAAAACAGTAATATTAGGGAAAACGCAATTATTTAAATGAATTAGTAATAAAAAAGATTGAAAATGATACCAAGAAATAAGAGATGCAATATACTTTAAAATTTGTGTAGATTACAATAGAAGTACTTGTGAAATATAATTGTGAGTATTTCATTACATGACCGGTGAATCAGTTTTGTTCTTGAGATGGGCACCCCCCAGATATTTTTATTTGATAGTTTATAAAAATACACCAATATATTTTTCTTAGAAAAATACGATGTAATGAAATTTGTGTCCAATGTTTTAAGTGTCAGTTGAATAATCAAATGACCAAACTTCAACATTCCAAACGTTAAAAAAACATGTTTTAAACTATTCATTTTACACATTTAAAGATAGAATTTATCTCAAAGGCATTATGGGTATTAAAAGTAAAGAATACACTTCCAACTATGGCTTGCGTGTCGTGGCAGATTACCAATCCCTTTGAGGATTTTACAATATGTAAAGAAACATGTATAATCAGTTTATAAAAGTGGGAAAAACCTAAAATATAAACATGGCATAGACTATTTTCAAAAGATTTTCTAATGTAAAGAAATGATAACTTCCTGTTTAAGTGAATGTGAAGAAAGATCATAGCTTGAGGATTTATTGTCCTTTCTTGCTAGCCATAGTCTACCCAATAAATGACATATGATGGCGCTGCCCATCGACTGAATAGTTATGACACAGATACGACGGTGTTGAAGGCGTCATAACTCCTAGACTTATAGTCAGGAAGTTGTCCTTGATGTTAGCAAAGAGGGCTTCGTGAAACACGGAGCGGACAAGTTGCTCACTACTACGGATTTAATCAAGAAGTTAGACTTAGAGTCTATGACGGTTTCTACGAACGGGCCCCTGGCCCTAGATCTAGATCTACCAGGGACTTGGGAGACATTGTGTTTCAAAATTCAAGTAGATCTAGATGATTCTGAATCTATGGTTAATAGAAAGTCTAGGCCTACTGCTAGTAATTACCTAGATCTAATGCTACAATCGTTTACTAGCCAGGTCCTAGCCTAACAGTTTAAAGGCTTAGCTCACTCCAGCAAAGCATAGAGTCAATGCTAAAGCGTATTGACCTTTAGCACTGCATACATGCTGTAAGGCAGGGACCTAGAAGTCTATACACACATATACACACCACACAATATCGCATAGACTGTACACGATCATGTCGATGCAGCTGTAAGCAAAGTTTGACACTAGACTTACAATTTGATTTTTTTAATTATTTTTTTTAACATCAGTAAGTTAAACAAAATATATTTTACTGCTATTTAGGTGTCATCAATTGTCACTAAAGTACCGATTTCGAGTGAAATCAGTTGAGTTTTGTACAGTGGTGTTTGAAATGTTGAGAATCAAAAGCACAGCTTTTACTACACAGCCAGGATAGTGATGCTCCTATGTGTGGAATACGACATGAATCTGCCGGAGAGTCGCGGCCGTGGCGTATATCCCACTCAGTATATCCCTCTATTTTGACTCCAGTTTTCTGGTCAGCCAATAAACAGCCTAGTAATTACGTTGCTAATCTTACCTTCTAAGCTGTTGGTGGTATAAAAAAAATTGTTTTTAATCTGCACCCCGCTGGCACTCCAGCAAAGCTAAGCATAGAGAGTCAATGCTAATGCGCTAGATGTGTTGGTTGGCCGTTATGTTGGCATACCAAGATGTTACTAACCGTATTAAAAGCTTGGAAATCCACCGGGTCGAGCTGTAAAGAGTTGGTCGGGTTATCCCACAGAGATATCTCTATGGGTTATCCACACTGATCTCGTAGAGATCAGTGGTTATCCAGGGTCGGGCTGAGCTGAGAAAATGGGGAGGGGAAAAAAGAAAGGGAAAGGGAAAGAAAAGGAAAAAAAGAAATGAAAAGAAAGGAAAAAAAGGAAAAGAAAGGAAAAGAAAGGAAAGAAAAGAGAACAAAGAAAGAGAAAAAAGAAAAAGAGAGAGAGGAGAGGAAAGGAAAAGACAGAAAAGAAAGAAGAGGAAAAAAAGAAGAAAAAAAAAAGAGAAAGGGGAAACAAAAGAAATGGGAGTAAATTAAAGAGAGAGGGGAGTTGTTGGGTGAAGTCGTCTCGTCGAGGGCGCAAGAAAGACACGGGTAAATAATGCTGCTGTGTCGGGTCAGCTGTGTCGGTATTCTTGCTCGATCCTCGTGTACTAGAAGTTTGAAGTGGTCGGCCGACAAGTTTTTCCCCCTACGAACTGCGACATTTTAACCGCTGTGACGACTTCGAGAGTGACTACAACTACAACACTTGTATTTTCTCGAAGTTTCACTTTTCTATCATTATCAGTTAAAGAAATCAGATGTTTAAAATTTTAGGAGGAAATTCAAACAAGGATTTGGAGTCAACAACGGTACGACGAATCGTCTCCCTTTCTCTATATGATGAAACACCAAATATTCCGCGCTTTGCGCGGGAGGGGGAAAACTTCATTTAGCTTAGACGAGTCGAGAACGGTACAACGAATCGTCTTCTTCTTTCTATAATAATTAAATGAAACGTGTAAGCTTTCGCGCTGTGCGCGGGAGAGGGAGAAACTGAATTCAGACAAGAATTAAGAGTCGAGCACGGTTCAACGAATCGTCTACTTTCTCTAATAATTTAAGGAAACTTCAAAGCTTCCGCGCTTCGCGCGGGAGGGGGAGAACTGAATTCAGACAAGGATTAACAGTCGAAAACAGAAAAATAAATCGTCATCTTTTCCTAATAAGCGGACCTTTTTTTTTCTTTTTTTTTGGTCTCGAAATTTGAAAATTTGACATTTTGCTCCGTTGGGGGGGGGGGGGGGGGGGGGGGGGGGGGTAAGGTCAGCTTTTTTAGGTCAGCCATGTGAATTTTTTTTAATTTTTTTAATTTAAAAAAAAAAATCCAAAGGGGGGGGGGGTTTAGGGAGGTTAAGGGGGGGGGTTTACACACAAAAAAATACCAAAAGGGGGGTTTAACACCCCAAACCCCCCCCCCCCCCGTGTACGCGCCTGAATATAACCTCATATGGAGACGTTGTATCATCCGCTCAATCTGACTTGCGTGCATAGAACAAATAAGCATTTTTCCATGAAAAAGTGAAGTTTTCTAAAATGTGCGTTTCTTTCCAGCATTGGGGCGCCCGGAAGTCACTCGGGTAACATTTCATAAAATATAATATAAAAAGACCATATGCAAATTTTCTGTACTTTTGTCGGAAAAAATACATTTATCCAGCACAATGTCGTCTCTTTTTGCGTTGGAGAAGAGCAAATAGCGAGTTTCAATCATACTTTGGCCGCTCTCGCAAGCTCTCACTCGTTTCACTGTGGTCAAGAGACTTTGGGGCAAGCGGTTAATGAAAATACTAATTGTTAGCTTTCTTCTGGTATCAAACTTGTTTTGATTGATTGTATAATTTTGTCGGAATAAAGGAAACAAAAAGGCTCGACCAATAACTTATCAACGTCTTAATTGACCTGTTGACCTTGAATTCCCTGATGCAAGCGCACTAATGACGTCATCTTCGCTAAAACGGTGTCTTTTATCGTAAAATGCGACACTTTCACAATGTTTATACATCTTTTTTTAATTATTAGTAAGATATAACATATTTTTTCTGATATCACTGAAGTTTTGGGTTTTATTTAATGAGTAATTTTAAAATAAGAGCCATTTTACTGTTTTAATTTACTGGATCGTACCATTAAAGTCGCAGGGTAGAAAGATGCATTTTCCAACCACGCCAAATTTAATTTACGTTCCGACATTCTGTTAAATGGGTTCGTGTTGTTAAGAATCCACTGCTTTCTGCTCCAACAATTAAACGTCCACATGCGGAGTCGTTTATCAACTAAATTATTCAAATTTATGGATGCTTCCTAGCTTCCCAGGTGTTTGTGTTGCTGTTGAAGCATTTCATTCACCTGCTATCATTCTTTGTACTCCAATTGCCAGAACGCAAATTTCATTTTGGTTTGATAGTTTCATCGGAGTCGTTTATTAACTATATGTATTCAAATTTATGAATGCTTCCTCCCCAGGTGTTTGTGGTGTTTATGCATTTCATTCACCTGTTATTATTCTTTGTACTCCAATTGTTAGAATACAAAATGCATTTGGGTTTTATAGTTTCATGCAATAAGTAAGTCAATAAAAGAGTATGTTCTGCACAAAAAAAAACAATGTGTGTCCCTATTCTACAATGTAAGGTGTCCCCTCATTTTGTAATAGTTAATTTACCCATTTACATAATGGAACTACCTGCCCGATGAAGCCAGTGGCCTGTGACCCCTGAGCACTCAACACCGTGTGGGAGTCAGTTCGTGGTCAAATTCTTTTATGAGACAAATACAAGCAAACGTTTCCATATGAGTTGCCAATTGATTATAGTCCGGCTATTTTACAACTCGGCTGCAGGGTTTTATGAATATAAGTCATGGGACCCGTTTAGCAAAGCCTTTTTCAATAACAAATGACAAAAATCTGTGACAAATCTGCTGATAACAAATCAGAAGCAAGGAGTTTCACTATAGCTTATTTCAAAAACTGTCATTTGTCACTGATTTTTTTTTAATGGGGCCACGGTATCCAAAATATAATTAGGCCTGAGTGTTTTTCCCTCTATCCTCTCATCTCCTTTCGTCTCCGCGTTCTCTCCCTCTCTCTCTCTCTCTCTCTCTAAATTATATCTCTAAGTGTATTATTCATCCATCATCATCTTTCTCGATTCATTACAAATCATCCACATATCTAATAATTAGAATCTAACAACAATAATTATGATATAACTGGCCAAAAAATATTTAAATTGAACGTAATAATAATGTGGCTTTCATCATAAGCCTACTTGTATTTTGATTGATGGGTGTATTGGATCCTATATATTCACTTGTCTCTTTCCCGGCTCTCTTTCCTGCTCTCTCTCTCTCTCTCTCTCTCTTTCTCTCTCTCTATCTCTCCCTCTCTCTTTCTCTCTCTCTTTTGCATATTTCACATCAATCTTTATCCCTCTTGCTATCTCACTTCATTATAATACGTTCACCTTTTGCATAACTTTATTAAAAGTTCATCGTATCGATCAATTAAAACAATTTCTTAAAAATGTATACTTGTATTAATCATATGGAAAACTTTTAGCCCTAAACGCGCATAAAAGAATACAGCACTAAACAACCGCTTTAACGAAGAGAGCGCGCTCAAGTGCACTCTTGCGTGAAAGTACACTGATCGGACTAGTTCAATGCGACAAAGCAGGGGTGCGAGCGCTTGCTCTCGTTGACTACTTACTAACACTAACAAACTAGAATTAGAAATGAAACTCACCTATAGTTAAATAAATGCAAAATTACGGTAGACTACACCAGCAGAGGCTTGCCTTTACACCGTAGACGAAATCGAACTCATTCCCTTTGCCAATGATTATACTGACTTCCCTCTAGTTGGAGTGCAATGACCCATTCGGGTGCGCATGTATAGACATGATGCGCGTAATGCGGTCTCCGAGATTTTGAGCGCAACGCACACACTCTGTACGCACTGTACTGCGTTAAATACACACACTGATGACCTCTACAGCGATTGCACGGAAGCTATAACTGTGCATTGTTTGTACGGTACGGGCGCACTCGTTGTGAGTAGCTATAGCGCTACACTATCCCAGTCACCTTGGTTTACTATGAAAAGCTACCTTTTATTTGTTGGAAAATTGCCACCGTTTCCCCTCCACAAATGAAAACAATCGTTATACCAACGTAAAGGTGGGATGTCAAGGTTTCTGAATCCGTCCGAAGATTTTTTATACGTCACTCGTGTAAGATTTGCCGACTGGTTGACTGAGCGAAACCCGACAAAAAAGGGGAAAAACAGTGCAATCTCCATAGGCAGGCTGAAAAAGTCAAAACTTTTAGGGGAAAAGTGCAACCGTTTCCCCTGAAAGAATAATCCCAAATTTAGTATCATTTTTAAGACGACATTTCAAATTATAAGAAACCGTCCGAAGATTTTTTTTTTTAAATTCCATTTTCTCGTAATACCAGCAATTATATCAAAACATGGCTTTTTTGGTGTACGTTCCCCGTGCTTAACAGGATAAGCGACGAGGCGCAGAGCAGATGCGCGTAAGTTTTCCATATGATAAAAAGGAGTTAAACTTAAGTCTATTTTTTCAGAGATAACACAAAATTGAAAAAACGGACAAAAAGGGAATTTTCAGGCAGCATCAATAATTAATGGACCGTGGATTTTGACACCCAAATTTCATATAAAAAGCGCCCTGATAATATATCTCAATAAATGAATTGACTGACAAGATCGGACCGCTTTGCAATTTGGTCATTTTTGTCACATTGACCATTATATTACGCGATTTCTGTAACAAGCTCGCAATTTCAGGGAGCATGTATTTGTTATGGGGAACAGGCACATATAGCCACGGGGGGGGGGGGGGCACGTGCCCCCCAATATTTCCAAGATCGGTTGAACTCTTTTAGACCCCTCCTCAGGACGTCGATCGATTACATGTATGTGCCCCCCCCCCCCCCCAACAAAAACAAAAAAAAACATCAAACTTTGGCTACGGGCCTGATGGGGAAAATTTCATATACTGATCTTTGGTAAAAAAATTGTGCTGATTAAAAACAAACGTTTGCCTTACCGACCTCCCCGACCTCCCCTCCCCCCCCCCCCCTCGAAAATTGCCATTTGTATCATCATTCAATGTCCATGAAAAAAAAAATCAATTAGAACTAATGCCTTGACACCACATGGAGGAATAGGTGCTGATTCCAGAAAAAGTCCACCCCACTTAGTAAATTTACACAATTTTCAAGAATCCCGTCATTTTGACCCAAATTGACAATTAGCATGATTTCTGCAACAAACTAGTGTAGCGAGGATTTCGATTGTATTTAATCAATCATAATTTTTCAGATCCTTGTCATGGCACAGCAAACATTACGCACTACTAGTACAATGTTACACCACGGCCATCCTACTTCTTTTATTATCCTTCTACATTGTCTCTATTATCCTATTGAATTTCAATCCTTCCATTACTTCTACTATGCTATTCTATTTGTTTTATGCTGCCTCTCCCAGCCCATCCGACCTCTAATTACCAGCTACCTCTACTACCAGCCTACTCGCACCCTTCAATTCAATTTAATTTCAATTTCAATTTAGTCATGTTTCCACACAAGAAACATTACAAATCAATTATAAGCATTTAAAACAAATGTAAGAAATACATGTCGGCTACCATCCTGTTTCTTCTTCTAATAATAATAATACATTACATTTATAATGCGCTTAATACAATGTTTCTAAGCGCAAGAGAAAGAAGAAAGGATAACGAAGGAAAATACGTGAGAAATACTAAAGAAACATGTTAACAACATTGAATTACAAGTAAACGGCAAAGAAGAATGCGACATTACACAAAATAAGGACTGCATCGAAATTGATTGAAATATATAAATAAACCAGATATGGACTCAGAATTATAATAAACCAGGTAAAATATCAAAATACAACTTAAATACAAATTATTATATTCAATATAACAATTATACATCTCTACTACCTTCTTAGAGGGAGACTTTTGAGATAAGACAGAAATAGCACTGCAGAGAATTACAGAGGAAAACAAATATGAGATGAAGCAATGTGAATTGGGGAATGAGATTGAGTCATTGAGAGAATGATTATTCAGGAAGTAACACTCTGGGACCCCAGGGGTACAACTTGCACGTTTAAGGAAATAACAAAGGTAACAACACTCCTACTGAAATGATGTTTGCAAATGATCCGTAATCCAATCTCTTTTCTGACCATAATACCTCTAGTGGGGGAACTGTTTTGAGTATAAACTTTTTTCTTCTTTTTTTCTTTCTTCCTATTTGTACCTTTAAAGACACTATAACGTTCCTATGTTCGGTGAATTTTGGTTAGCTAAATTCGCCTTGAAACAAAGCGTGAACAGGATCGTGCAAGCAGAGCCATATTCACTCTTCAAATTCCCCGCTATTAGCCATTGCCTATTTGTATACATATGGTGTGTATATAATTTACTGACAACATGTTCGAACAAGATGAAGGTGAGAATATTTTCGATATCTATTTTGTTTTAAGAATAAGAGGTAAATTAATGCAACGTGAGACCCTCGATTCACCAATTGAGATTGTAATTTGTTTGCAGGTATCTCAATGTAACATTGTCTTCGGTCCTACGTATAGATAATCAAGTCTCCTCCATTTCTACTAGTAGGGATCTAGACTAGGACTAGACTAGAGTCTAGAATCTACTATGATTCGATGGAATACGTATTCATGCAATAGTATCTCTGTGTGGAAATTAATGTTTTCATAAAGAATGTGTTACCTGTTGGTATTTCTACAATTTCTGCCCTGGGCCTGGCCAAAACTTCCAGAACATCCTAAAAATGCTCGAATAATAGAAATGAGACTAAAATTAGGGAGGCCGGTACCCGCACTTCACGTAGAACTTTAGCTTACATGGCCACGTAGAAGAATCCCCTATCCAACTCCGTGAACGTAAGTACGCGCCGCTGCACAAAGAAAAATCATCGCACTCGTAGGTTTAACGTTGTGGGGAAATATGCAAATGAAATGAGTTAACACCCAATCAACTACGAGCATCGTGACGCTAGCACTTTTATGAATGAAAAATGACGTCGGTCGGGCTTGAGCGAACAGAAGAGCGCATTGCGCATGCGCGAGTTTTGTGTGTAATTCTTCTTCGTGAAGGCCAAGGGCCCTGTTAATTGGCTATCGCTGGCTGCCATTCGCTCAATGTTATAAGATATTGGTGCGAGGAGAAAGCTTGCGATTTTCTGTTTGATCTGATACCAAAAATCATGATACTTTAGTCTTTTTAAAGCCCTCAGCGCTAACTCAGAATCATATCCATACTTTGACCCGTACTTTGAATTTGACCCGTAACTCTGGCGTGGAGATATCCCACTAAAACATAGCAAAAATTGAATTATTCTTCATCAATTGTTCAAATAATGGTCATGATTTAGAAGTTGTTATGTTTCTTAACTGTTTCGTGTCAATTTTCCAATTTTTTTTGCAGTATTTTTCCTAAAAACGAAGACTTATAATATACACTTTCTCACAGGATTCACGGCAAACTGCTACACAATACAATCCTTTTTCTAACCGTGTGTACGCCTGCTGTACATACAGCAGCCGAGAAGTGGAGGTAACACGATCTCGGCTGCTGTACGTACACACAGAATTATTACCAATATACCTTCCAAATAACTTGAACTCAAAACCATCCTGGCACCCTGTCAGAGGCTGAAACCACTGGGATTTATCTTGGCTCAGCTGACAGGAAGTTCACATTAAGATTGCTTTCATATTTGTACCTGCAGAGGTTTACGGTGAGGAGGAGACCGATGACCTGACCCCTGACCAATGGCAGGAGGCATGCTGGATCGTCATCAGCTCCTACTTCGATGAGAAGGGTCTTGTCCGACAGCAACTGGACTCCTTTGATGAGTTCATCCAGATGTCCGTGCAGAGGATTGTTGAAGACTCTCCGGCTGTCGACCTGCAAGCCGAGGCTCAGCATATGACCACGGAACAAGAAGTGCCTGTAAGTATGCATAGTGGATACTCTAGGGAATCCTTCTTTGACCAGGCTTCTGTTGTACTTGTGTCTTATTTTGATACTAAATATTGTGAGAAGTGACCTTGGTTCACCACTCGATAAGATTCCTGGTTCTAGAGCTCTCAACACAAATTTAGTTTTAGTGGTAGATATAATAATAATGAAACTAATAATATTTCATGTTTACCCAGGGTAGCCTCATCAGTAGTTAATACTGTTCTCCCTGAGAGCCCTACAAGCATAGTATTACCCAGGCTTTAGTTTTAGCGGAAGATAAATATTATTCAATATACTTTACAGTATGATCCATGTTGATGGGTAGAAAGCTAAGATAGTAATATGTTATTAATACTATACTTATCTGACAAAGACAAGAATATTAAAAGTGTGCACAACAAGGGTAGAAATTAGAGACAGTAGCATGGGTGCTAGGAAAATACAGATGCCATATATACATATATTTAATTAATTAGAATTGGAAATGAAATTGAAGTCAGTTTTCAACTCCATTGTGAATTTTCACCCAAACTCTTTTGGAGGAATTATTTCTATAACCACCTGACATTACCTGTTCAATCTACTTCTTGCAGACGAGATACCTTCTCAAGTTTGAGCAGATCTATCTCTCCAAGCCAACTCACTGGGAGAAAGATGGATCCCCAAGTCCTATGATGCCTAATGAAGCTCGTCTTAGAAATCTCACGTGAGTCAATATTATTTTTACACACTTGTGTTTCACAAAGACTAAGATCGACTTTAAGTTGGACTTAACTATGGCAGGCCATTCATGCCACTGGTTACTCTCACCATTGGGCTCTCAATTATGATCTTTAGATAATATTTTTTTACTTCAGATATGAAGTATCAAAAAATGTAAATTCTGTAGGTTTGTGACCATGATTTGACCGATACCAGTAAATAGTGAGAGAAAACAATGGCATGAATGGCCTGCCATAGTTAAGTCCAACTAAAAGTCGATCTTAGTCTTTGTGAAACACCCCCTTGGTAAACCTTGTAGCTACTGCATTTGCTACATAGAAGCTTGCTCATACCTGAAATCAGGAATTGTGAGTTGTGAATATTGATTATTGTATGAGCTGTTATTTTTGAAAGTTTTAATTTCACATATTGTGCAGTGTGTTATAAGGCCGTGAATTTAAGAACATGCAAAGGTGAGCCAACAGTGTATGTACATGCATTGCTTTCCCTCTAGACAGCTACGTTCTCAAAACCCTGGCTTACTTGTTACTCCTAGGGTTAAAACAAAGTGGGGGAGCGAGCCTTCGCTCATGCTGGGCCTTCATTATGGAATACTCTCCCTCAATGGATTAAGAAAAGCAGTTCTGCTGAAGCGTTAAAAAACAATCTTAAGAAATATCTGTTTAATTTAGCTTGTATTTGATTACCATAACCTTTCATGTCTGTACCTTTCCTTTTGCACTTTGTATACGGTATATGTATCATGCATTTCATCTTTTGCACAAGCTGCGCCTTGAGCATTTGACTGTCAAGTGGATTTGGCGCCTTATAAATCTCATGTATTGTTATTATTATTAGTTCTTGCTGAAAATGATTCTGTCCATGCAGCATCAGTCCATTTGATGTTTCTTTTTAGATTTTCATTTTTAAAATTGGTGAAAATTACATTAAATGTAATTTTTTTAAATCAATGTTAGCTTACTATGAATTCTTAAGGCTATGAGCAAGAGATAAAAGTGAACTTTGTGTGTAATGTCAATAATTTTTTCTCCAATTTTGCCACCTGTGTTTGCCATTTTAGGTACTCAGCTCCATTGTATGTTGATATCACAAAGACAGTGATCAAAGATGGAGAGGATCCGCAAGAAACTATTCATCAGAAAACCTTCATTGGAAAGATTCCCATCATGCTTCGCTCAACGTACTGTCTCCTCAATGGACTCACAGATCGTGATTTGACAGGTACCTCTAGGGTTCATAAACGATCAGATAATTTGATACACCACGCAATAAGTCACACAAAAATCAACAGAGCATGGAGGAAAACTTAAGAATAATATTGAGACAAGAAATTTCTGCTTTTGGTTGAATCGGGTATTATGACTAGTGTTCTAATTTTTAACTAAGAATTTTACTGAGAAATATGTAATTTTGATGACTTAGCGTTTAACCCTTTTGGGGCAAGCAAGCATGTCGGCATCACATAAAATCTTTTCACTGTACATCAGTGTAAAAAGTATGGGTATGAAGTTGTAAGTAGTCAACTTACTACATTGATTGTTTTCATGAGTTAAGGAATCATTGTCATCATCATCATTATGTTTAAAGAAGCCAAGGAGTTTATGATGAAAGGACTGTATTAGGCCTAGAACAAAAAAATGTTGTATTGCGCTTTATGTGCCAAAACATGGGCAGTCAGTTGGAAATCTTTTACTTTTTTTTAAAACTCCCTCTTTGGGCTGATATTTCTCAGTTTTGAATGCTTTAATACATTTTTTTTCTGAAAAACGGTTATTTTTATGCCTCCGCCACCAAAGGTGGTGCCGGAGGCATCATGTTTTTGGGTTGTCCGTCCGTACGTCCGTACGTCCGTCCCGTTTGACCGTTATCACAATATCTCAAGAACCATTTAAGATTTAAACTTAAGACTCGGGAATAGTATTTATCACCATAGGAAGACGATCTGATTAGATTTTGGAGTACGTAGGTCAAAGGTCACAGGTCACAGAGGTCAACTTATGAAATTCCTTGTATTGAGTTTGTTAGCGCGATATCTCAAGAACCATTTGAGATTTAAACTTCAAACTTAAGGATAGTATGTATCACCATAGGAAGACGATCTGATTAGATTTTGGAGCACGTATGTCAAAGGTCAAGGGTCACAGAGGTCAACTTATGAAATTCCATACATTGAGATTGTTATCATGATATCTCAAGAACCACTGGAGATTTAAACTTCAAACTTAGTGATAGTGTGTATCACTATAGGAAAACAATCTGATTAGATTTTGGAGCACGTAGGTCAAAGGTCAAGGGTCACAGAGGTCAACTTATGAAATTCCATACATTGAGATTGTTATCATGATATCTCAAGAACCACTGGAGATTTAAACTCCAAACTTGTTTAAATTGCTCTATGGCGGAGGCATCATTTTCGACTGCGCGCAGTCAAAATTCCATCTAGTTTTATTTTTTTTTAAAGCTGACCGTAGATTTCAAAATGTTTGGGTCAGTCGCAAAGGGATATACTGGTAATACATCTTGTCTTTTATAAGGTCTTACGTATGACATCAATATTTATTCTATTTTAATCAAATGATTTATCTTTTTTTCAATTTGTAGAATTGAACGAGTGTCCCCTTGATCCTGGAGGTTACTTCATCATTAATGGCTCCGAGAAGGTTCTGATTGCTCAGGAGAAGATGTCTACTAACTCTGTGTATGTGTTTGCCAAGAAAGACTCCAAGTATGCGTTCACAGCAGAGTGTAGATCATGCTTAGAGCACTCCTCTCGTCCTACTAGCACACTCTGGGTTCACATGATGGCCAAGGGAGGACAGGTCAGCATGTTGAAAGCTTAAACATTTCTTTTCAAAAATATTTTCCAATGTTAACAAGACAAAGTATGTTGAGCATATCTCACTCTTCTTTTGTTACTCTATCCACCTTTTTAAGCTATTTTTCCTGAATTTAACATTTACAGTCCATTTCAATTCCATTCAATTGTATTTTGATTTGTTGTAGGGTGCAAGGAAGAGTGCTATTGGTCAGAGGATGATATCAGTATTGCCGTACATCAGACAAGAAGTCCCCATCATGGTGGTTTTCAGAGCTCTAGGATTCGTGGCTGATAGGGACATCCTGGAACACATCATCTACGACTTTGATGATCCAGAAATGATGGAAATGGTAAGTGTTTTATTATTCATTTTGATATATGAAGAGTTTAATTCCAAAAGGAGCTAAATCCATTTTTGTTACTTGAAGAAAAAAGAAATTGATTACCATATTTTGTGCAGGCCTTTATGGAAAAGTGATCTTTGAAGGTGCATTCTTTCATAATTGCTACTAAAATTTAGGTAAACAATTTTGTTGAAAGACGGGTTCTTAAGTGAACAATGTTCTGATATCAAACAACTCAATTTTCATCAAGAGTGGATTTAGCTCCTTTTGAATTAAGCTCTTCATATGAGGGCAGGTGGAAAAATCTCAGATATAGAGTGATTGAGGGGACAAATCATCAAGGACTTCTTTGCTCTGTAAAAGTATGTTCAGGTATCATGTTGATATGTGGTATTAAAGATATTGGCACCAAATACTTTTTCTGTAAAGAAAAATTGAGTTAAAATACTCAAATTGTCCTAAAAATAAAGATATAACTGACTTTTCATAACTAAACTACTAAATGCGCAGTCCGAGTCAGATCGATACTGCACTTGTTAACATAAATTTTCTTTCTAATGCTCTTTGATCCTCAACTATGTGAATGTCTCATTTAATTTTTTTTTGATGATTTTTGTTTTCTTCTATCAATATACTAATTAAAGCTCAGTTATGATTCTGTTCTCTGAATTCTCCTTAGTAAAATGAGTACATTTTGTCCAATAAATATCACACACGATCACATTCTCTTGATTCAGTTCAGTTAAGTTCAGTTCAGTTGATTAATATCATCATTTCGCAGCCTGGGCTGAATTGCATGACAATTTACAATTACAAACATATCATATTTCTTTCACAATTGTTTCAAATAATACTAGTTTAAATACAATATAATTAACGAAGACAATGAATTATCATCAATACTTAGTTCACTTTCTAGTGACAATTCACAATATTAGCAATAAGTATAATTCAATATATATATATATATATACAACAAAAATATTCTCATTAATAATATTATGTAATTTGGTTTTGCATCATTCAGTAGAAATTGGATAAATAAGTAATTAAGTAATTGATATGGTATTTATATTATTGGTGTAGGTCAAACCTTCTCTGGACGAGGCGTTTGTCATTCAAGAGCAGAGTGTGGCCCTCAACTTCATCGGTGCTCGTGGAGCTCGGCCAGGCGTGACCAAGGAGAGACGTATCAAGTACGCTAGGGAGATCCTGCAGAAGGAAATGTTACCTCACGTTGGTGTGAGCGACTTCTGTGAGACCAAGAAAGCCTACTTCCTTGGGTAAGTATACTGGAGGTGCACACAAGTAGTTAATTCCATTCAACTGAATTGTATTGTATGTATTAGTAATATTTTATTTTAAGTTGTTGCTTTTGAGCTATTGAACATGTTGAATAATTATACTAAGTTAGATAGCACCACCTGTGCGCTTAGAAACGCCTGTATAAAGCGCCCTATAAATGTAATCATTATTATTATTCAGTGTTTCCATCCATTATGTGACGGAAAAGACTGATTTAGAAACGATCAGTCCCGATTGTATTTTAGGGGGAATTGTTTGACTTTGCAGAGATACAGGCATCATCATGAGGTTGAAAGATATTGCCATATACCATTAAGAGAATAGTTTTCTTTTATCTTTTCTATTTTGGGGGTCTTACTAGAACGATGCTAATGATTTCAGTTGCACACTTTGGGAATAGAGATATGAACTGAGATGATTACCATCTTAGATCACCATATCACACAACTACTGGTTCATTTATTTGATATGGTTATAGTCCTGTAGAAAGTTACCAAAGTATATGTTTCCAAGGTTTCTTACAGGCATATCAAGGTTTGGTCCGTTTCCCACATATTATGTCTTTGTGTCACTACCTGAGGGAATGTTTTTGACTAGGTACCCACTTGCTATATCTGGGTTGTTGGTGACATATGTAGATTGATATTGTGCTTGTGCCAAGGCTTGTACCCACAACCTGCACATCCCAGGGCAAGTGTTTTATCCACTCAACTACAACTCCTGTGTGATTCAGAGCTCTAGAGTGAAAAGTACATCAGGTTCAACTAGAAATCTGTTCTTCTTTCAGGTATTGTGTACACAGATTACTCTTGGCTAGTATCGGTCGTCGTGAGGTGGATGATCGTGATCACTATGGTAACAAGAGATTGGATCTGGCTGGTCCTCTACTAGCTTTCCTCTTCAGAGCGCTCTTCAAGAACCTGCTGAAAGAAGTTCGCATGTACGCTCAGAAGTTCATTGACAAGGGCAAGGTAAAGTCAAAGGATATTAGATAGAATATCATCAGTATTCGAAAAAAATTAAGGTTTTATGCAAAATTGTGTCTTTTATTTCTGTGTCCGTTTGATTGTAAATATGCAAGAAATTAAGTCCATTAAGAGAATACTAATTTTTTTTGCCTTCTGATGACCTATGGCAGCTCTGAAATACTTTACTTTTATTCTATGTGTCGTTATCCCACCATTCCTTGGCAAGTTATATTATTTTTATTATGATCCTGTGTTTGTATTTTTCATTAGGACTTCAACATGGAGCTAGCCATTAAGACGAGGATCATCACAGACGGTCTCAAGTATTCCTTGGCTACTGGTAACTGGGGTGATCAGAAGAAAGCTCATCAAGCAAGGGCTGGTGTATCACAGGTACGTCACATCCTTCACTCTTTCATTGTTTATTACCATAAGGTTTATTATCATAAGCTAAACAACTACTGATTTAGGAATATCCCTCGGATAGGACGTTAAATGGAGGTCCTGTGTAGAGAAGAGTCACTACCTTTGCATGTTAAGAACCCACTGCACTATTCTTATAAGAGTAGGGGGAAACCCCGGTGTAGTGGTCCACCTGCACACACCCCAGTATAGTACGATAATACTCTTTAAAGAGGTATGTACTCAAAATGGAAGAAGAAGAACCATCTACATATTATTATGAAGACAACTTCACCTGTTTACCAGATCAATAAACTGCTGAAGTCTTTTGAAGTCATGTATTATTGTTTAAGTGGCCCAAACATGTGGAGTGATGTGTGCAGGGCTTTGTAAGGAACTACATCAAATACCTTTTGGATTGGATACAAATATCACATATATGATCTAATCAATTTGTAACTTGGAGATGAATATAAGTCATTTTGAATGACGAAATGTAACATTATTTGCATATATTTGCATATATTTGCTTCTCATTCACTCCCCTCACACAATGAACTGAATACGCTTCAGGTTTCCAAAGTGCCCAACCAACAAGCCAGTGAAAGATGATGACTATGCGATGGAATGGGTGAATGACTGCCCCGCTGCAATGTTAATTTAGTTGTACACACACAAAAATTTCCCTCATTAAAAAAGGGTAGATTTGAAATCATTTTCAAAGCATGGTCAGAGTGGGTTCATCTGCCTGTATAAACAAGCTTAAGAAGGTGCAACTCTGAAATATAGAATAGACAAATGGTATACAAAGGGCCAATGTCACAATGTTATAAATCTGTGTCGTATTTTGTTTGTGTAGGTGTTGAACAGATTGACGTTTGTATCCACCCTCTCTCATCTGCGGCGCCTCAACTCACCCGTTGGACGTGACGGAAAGTTAGCCCGCCCTCGTCAGCTGCACAACACACAGTGGGGCATGGTTTGCCCTGCAGAGACTCCTGAGGTATGTCTATTAAAGGGATCGTTTAACCATGTTAAATCTGAGATGCACGGCCCTACGTGCTTCAAAATGATCAAGAAGTGCCTCAAAAGTGTAAAAATCTTTGAGTGACCGGTTTTACCATACTCGTTTTCCCCAATAGACTGTAGTGTTATGAAAACTGTTTGGCAAACACAAAATTTCGATTTCGATTTTCAATCATAAATATCTTGATATTCAGACAGGCAATCAGCTTGTAATAGTCATGGGGTTCCTGACTGACTGACCTAAAGGTTTATAATTATCATCGCAGGATGAGCTAAATCATGGATTTTTTTTAAAGGATCCAAGACAAAGTTACCGGATCCCTTTAATCAAGTCAGCTACCCTTTTTTGACGTGGTCAATTAGGTCAAGCAGGTTTTGAATGCATGTTTGAGCCAACTTCCAAATACAGGCTCCTATTTATTAAATGCAAGCAATTGTTGATATTTTTGTAGATCGTTCACATTCGACCCGAAACAAGGCTCCATGCTACATTTTCCTTAGATTAATGAATTTAGGATATCAATGTCTGGTCTGGTTCCCTGTTTAGATTTAGAAATCCTTGGGTTCTGGAGTAAAAATGTTAGCCCCATCTGCACTGGACCCTGTTAGTATCTAACCTTATGACTTTTTATGAATGTAATCCTAGGCATATTTAATGAGTGTTTCACTCCTCAACATTTCATGCTTTTATAATTGTATTACCATCCGTTACGGCACTGAACAGTCCCACCTAAAACTGATCATGTTTGTTATTAAGTCACCCGACTGCAGATCACAAGGTACGGGGTTCAAGTCCCGCCGCGGCACTAATGTCCTTTGGCAAGACGTTAATCTACATTTGCCACTCTGCACCCAGGTGTAAATGGGTACCTGATATGCTTGAGCGCTAGTTACTTTGGCAGCTCAGGGTAATATGTGTAAAGCACCATGAGCGTCACAACCTGACGGATACCGGCACTGTATATATATATATATAACCATATTATTATTTATTAATAGGGCCACGCTGTAGGCCTAGTGAAGAACCTTGCCTTGATGGCCTATATCTCTGTGGGTTCACAACCCAGTCCCATCCTAGAGTTCTTGGAGGAATGGAGCATGGAAAACCTGGAAGAGATAGCGCCCTCTGCCATCAACGAGTAAGCAGTTTCGAAAGATTTTCAAGATTTGAGATCTGGGGGGCATTTCACAAAGCCCTTTTTCAATGACAAATAACAAAAATCAGTGACTGATAACCAATCAGCAAGGATTTCAGTAGCTTATAACACAAATTGTCATTTGTCACTGGTGACAAGTTTTGTGAAACGCCCCCCAGGATTATCTTTTGATCATTATTTATGTATGAAAGCCACACTAAATGAAGTATTGTGCCCTTTTCCATTGCCATGGAGAAAAAAAATAAGAGGAAAAGGAAGAAATGGGACTGCCATTATTGAAAGTGTCTTTTCATAATGCATTGATATGGTACACAGGGCTCTCACTTAACTTTTTTTCTTGGTTGCCAGCCGGGCATCCTATACAGTTTTTTAGGTTGCCAAATGGCAGTTTAGGTGGTCACAGTGAATATGTTTAAAGGGGTTTGTGTAATGCATAAATCTGCCATCGGGTCTGTCGCAATTGTCGCGCCATCGAAATTACCATCCTCCATGGTAACCATGGTAATCATGGTACCAAACAATAAAATACATTGTTTGATGACCCTATATTCATCATCGTTTGATACTATGGTAACCATGGTGGATGGTAATTTGGACAACAAAATTATGGTTACCATGGCACTTTTTTTTTTTATAAGGGGCGCTACTTGAAATCTTGAATTAAAAATCATAATTAACTCAGTGCCCGGTACAACAGTCAGGGAAAAAATTAAGTTTTTCATTTCAGGGGCTCCATTTCAAATTTTGGGGACATTTTTGGGGGGCTACTTTTTCAACTTCCGAGAGCTTTTTTTTCATTTCGAGGGCTCTTTTTTCTGGGGCTACTTTTTCATTAATTCATAAAAGGATAGTTTGTTGAGATTTTTTTTTGTATGCTAAGGTTTAATTCGGGCTTCCTGCGTCATAATTACCCATTCAAAAAGAAAGCATTTATCTAGTTAAAAAACTAAGTTTTAATGCATTTGACTGTAACATAATAGATTGTGATTATTCTGGCCATGACCATGTTCAGATCTTCTACTGAATTTCGATAATCATTTTTTTCAAAGTAAAATTTTCACAAGAAAATCAGACAGTCGTTTAAAAACTAAGACATAAGTAACACTTTTACTAGTTCTAAGCTCAGGTTTCATACCTCGATTCACGAAACTACTCACGGCAATAATGATGCAAACAGATAGCAATTTCAAAGTGTTGTCAAGTCTCTTCGACTCTAACTTAGCTCAGCTCAGCTCAGCTCAGCTCAGCTCACACAGCAGCTGTGCAGTGACACTGCACTGTGCAACTGAACTGTCAGTCACGATCATTTTCTCCGATTTTCTTGTGAAAACTTATTTGAAAAATGAATATCATGGCGAGAATAATCACAAAATAAGCTTTGATTTCATACCTCTATTCACGAAAACTATATACAATAGCGGCAATCATGATGGAAATTGATTGCAGTTTGGCGATCTTTTTTAGCAAATGGTCTAGGTTCAGCTAATATGATCTATCGAAACAAAATCGACCGCAAAAAACTCGATCCCTGCGCTCCGTCTCGCAACCGCGAAAATGTACGTGTTTTCGCGTACACGTGCGTGCGACATGGTAAGCCAGGTGAATCAAGTTTTTTACGACCAAATTTGTGTATACAATTTTAGACGGAGATTCAGCGCGCGTGTGCGTGCCGACCAAGAAATGCACACAATGAATACAAAGCTAGTAGAGAGCGGCCGCTCGTAATCGTTACGGGGCTATTTGAGATCATTTCCTTTTTTGACATTTATTTTGTTGGTTGCCAGCCGGGCAGCCAAGACGGGACTTTTAGGTTGCCCGGTGGCGTTTTAGGTGGTCAATGGCACCCGGGCAACCGCTAATTTCGAGCCCTGGTACAAGAATACAGTAACACATAACTTTTCAGGAAAAATTAATTTTCCTTCTATTCAGTGTATGACTTCTATGAATTTGCTTGAATAGGCAGTGATCTGCATTTTCGGATCATGTAACAGAGTATTTTGCAGAGTTTCTGGGATATGGCAGCAGAGATTATGTTCTGCACTATGGCATGTCCAAAACAAATGCAGACTGCTTTTAAGATTGATAAGGTATCACCTGAAATGAATCAAATTTGTTTTTGGTTTTAGAGCGACGAAGATCTTTGTGAATGGTTGCTGGGTAGGCATCCATAGAGACCCTGAACAGCTGATGAACACCCTGAAGAAACTCCGTAGACAGATGGATATCATTGTATCAGAAGTAAGTAATGCGATTGGTTGAGAGAGTTATTGTATAACCAGAAACTTTGGAGAATTTTCACAAGTGGCTGACATTCACAAAGGTTTCAAAAAGCTGCAAAATAAGTGCATCATAAGTGAAACAACACTATTTTTTTTCTAATTCTAAAGTTTCTTTCTCCAGAAGGGGCAGTTGTTTTATGTAATTTGTGTCTTACACTTAAAGATAAACTTGAATTCTGGTAAAAAAAAAAAAGAAAATGAATTCTCACAGAATCTATCGAAACTTACACTGAATGTTCAAGATTACAAATAAATGTCATGTGCCAAACAATTTTGGATGAAAATGTATACTGGTTGAGTGATGAGCATAGAAAGATAAGAAAATCAAGGTAGTACTAGCCCCGACTCCATTTGTGTTGTCCCATATACATCTTTCTGTGTACAGTGATTGTTACTTTACTAAGACTGGGCCAAATTTATGATGATTTTGATGACTCCAGAACCTTGCATTACACACCAATACTTATATGCTATATGATCAACTTTTCTGATCCATTCCACACCCTTTTCTTTCACAATGCAATCGCATGACCAGAACTCAACTTTATCTTCAATCTTCAAGGCACCCACAAGTTATGCTCATGTTTTGGGGATAAATGAAACATACATGTATAAAGAATGTTTTGCCTTTTCGTTTCTCTTTATTTTATTTAGTAATTATGAAATCCATCATATTAACTTATGGAAATATTTGTATAATATTTGTGTTACTGTTCATATCTATGTATATCTATGTAAAATTTAATATAGGTTTCAATGGTGAGAGACATTAGGGAGAGAGAGATCCGCATCTTCACCGACGCTGGAAGGATCTGTCGCCCTCTCTTGATCGTAGAAAACCAGAAGCTATTGCTCAAGAAACGCCATGTTAGCATGCTCAAAGAGAGAGAATATAACAATTACAGGTAAGAAAGGGCAATGGGTCACACGCTTGAGTTGATCATGCTATTAAGCTACTTGAAACAAGTCAACAGGAATGTTTTCGGAGAGGATTGATTGGAAATTTGTGAACTACAAGATGCTTTTAGCTTGCATAGTTTCTATTCATGTTGGAGCAGTGTAGAAGATCAAGTGTCAGACAGACATCTCTTTGATAATTGACCTATCATTTTAAAATGTTCTTGACATTTTGAGTGTGTATTGTGAGGTCTGAATTAGTGTTCTTCAAATATTGTTATATGGTAATGAGATTAACATGAGTCAGATCTATTTCTTGATGTTTTCAAATGTTATTTGTTAGTCATCTGTATAAATTTAAAGGCCATCTGTACTAGTGTAAATGAAGGATTAGACTACCCTGCAAGGTCACTGGACAAGTTGTTATCTGATCAAATCAGCTCTCAATTAACATAAGAAAACTAGGGTCATGGGGGACCAATGGTTACCAATTAAGCATTGTTTGTTATATAGAGAGCACAAGTAGCTACAAGAAGTGCAGTGTGGCTTTAAGTGAACGTATATACCCAGATTTAAATACCACCAGAAAGACCTGGGGGAGACATTCATCTGGAGATAGTTTTCTAGATGTAATCAACATGGTAACAATGATTCATAGAACCAACAAACTCATATTCCTCCAATTCAATGTTCCATACTACAGTTGGCAGGACCTTGTAGCTAGCGGTGTGGTGGAGTACATCGACACCATGGAGGAGGAGACTGTAATGCTGGCCATGACACCTGATGATCTACAGGAGAAGGGCATGGGATACTGTTCAACCTACACTCACTGTGAGATCCATCCATCCATGATCCTTGGTGTCTGTGCATCTATCATTCCATTCCCTGATCACAATCAGGTAAGTCATTACATCAGCTCAGAGATGTTCTTCCTCTTCATCTGATGATAATAATAATAATAATAATAGGCATTTCTATAGCGCCGTCTATCTAGAAAATCTATTCCGAGGCGCATTTATTATTACCATGGCTTTAGCCTAGCTGCCATTACAGCGCTCAAGCATTTCAAGGAATTAATTCCTGCCAGGTAGGAATTAATTCCTACCAGGTACCCATTTACATCACCTTGGTGGAGTGTGGCAAATGTAGATCAATGTTTTGCCAAAGGACATTAGTGCCGCGGCGGGACCCGAACCGCGGACCTTGTGATCAACAGTCCGGCGACGTATCCACTCTACCACTACACCTCTACGATTTACTCTCCCTAGGTGGAGAGAGGCAAACATACATTGATGTCTTGCAATAGGAGATTAGTACTATGCCAGGGCTCGAGCACACCCTAGCATTTCTAGGCGAGTGTCAATCTACAATACCTCTACTTTTCTTGTAGATGGATTATTTATTGCAGAGGATAAAAGTGTGTTCTTCTTTAAAATAGAATATAAATTCCAGGGCCCCATCTAAAGTTAGTCAATTCCACAGCACATCTGTCCTAAAGAGAAAGGAATTTGTAAGATTGCAACTGATTGGATGTCTACCAGTTATCAATGTGGATCAATCCAAACACTTATAATATATACTACCACTTATGATAAAAAGCCCAGCTTAACTGTTTTATTTCTGTTTAGTTCAATGAATAATATTTATTAGGATTTTATAACTTCCCTTTTTCCATTATTATTTAATATTTCAATGTACTTGTGTATATTCTAGTGAAATATTTTGCATGTTATTTACAGTACCTTTAGCAAATGTATGTGTTCTAATATTGTTATTTTTATGGAAATGAATGAACTTAATTGAATAATTGAATTTAAAAATTGATTCTCCCCCTCAGTCTCCTCGTAATACCTACCAATCCGCTATGGGTAAGCAAGCCATGGGTGTGTACATCACCAACTACCACGTCCGCATGGACACCCTGGCCCACGTGCTCTACTACCCTCAGAAGCCCCTCACCACCACCAGATCCATGGAGTACCTTCGCTTCAGGGAGCTGCCGGCCGGTATCAACTCCGTGGTTGCCATCGCCTCCTATACGGGATACAACCAGGAAGATTCCGTCATCCTCAATGCAAGTGCTATTGATAGAGGCTTCTTCAGGTGAGGAGGTCATTGACCCCTAATGGGCCGAGTTGCATTGCATGCTTGGTAAAACTAGGCCAGTCATGTAACCTTCCTAGGTATATTTATTCTGCAGGAACCTAACTCGTAAGCAGTCCACTTCAATTTAATCCAGTCCTGGACTTTGTAGTCTTTTGAACGATATTGTAGTTTCCTAATCAAAGATACTAGCGAGACTGAAATACACCATGCAGGTCATGATATATCAGAGAAAGATTGCAGTATTGGCATGTTGTATGGACCATTTTTCCATTTAAGATCGCAGAGAACACTTTTTTGCTTGTGGGTTATAGAACGCTTGATGACCTGTTTTATCTTTATCATTCCTGCTTCAATATCTGAAGATTGTAGACAGCACATACACATTCAATACATATAACCACATGCATGTTCATGTTTTATCACTGCTTGAAGTTGCCTTCATATTTGACTAGCATATTTTGATTGACTGTTGTTTCAGATCTGTTTTCTACCGGTCCTACAAAGATGCTGAATCGAAGGCGGTTGATAAGGATGAGATGTTTGAGAAACCATCTAGAGAGACCTGTCAGGGTAAGCTAATTACATCATTTATTGATCAGTGTGCATTTAGATGAAATTAACTCACATTTTGGACCTTTCTGAAGTTATTGAGTGTGGTGGTTCATTCTAATGCATGAGCTAGAAAGATATTTTATTATTTTTTTGTTAAATATAGTTGTGGGGATTCTAAAGATACTTAAAGATGCATCTAGTCGGTTGTAAACCTTAAAGGTAGACACAAAATCATTGATTACTTAGCTAGCGGGCAAAGTTATTAAGTTTTGTCTGTAAAGTTTCAATTTTGATATACTACAGGGTATTGGGTGTACCACAACATTGTTCGGAGAGAGTGAGCCATGCAAAGAGAACATGAAGTTTGTAATATGTCTCTGACAAAAGAAAATAGTCGTATGGGAATTGATTTACTAGGCACAAAGTTTCAGTGAGCATTCCTTTGAATGGACATTTGTTAAAATTATTGTCTTTTGTTGGTCTTTCTTTAGGAATGCGCAATGCGGTCTATGACAAGCTGGAAGAAGATGGAATCATCCCTCCCGGCTCCAGGGTATCAGGTGATGATGTCATCATCGGCAAGACATGCACACTACCAGAGAATGAAGATGAGGTATGATAATGAGGAGGATTTTGGTGGTGGTGGTGGTGGTGGTGGTGGTGGTGGTGGTGGTGGTGGTGGTGGTGGTGGTGGTGGTGGTGGTGGTGGTGGTGGTGGTGGTGGTGGTGGTGGTGGTGGTGGTGGTGGTGGTGGTGGTGGTGGTGGTGGTGGTGGTGGTGGTGGTGGTGGTGGTGGTGGTGGTGGTGGTGGTGGTGGTGGTGGTGGTGGTGGTGGTGGTGGTGGTGGTGGTGGTGGTGATGATAGTGATGATGATGGTTATGATGATGATGATGGTGATGGTGATGGTGATGGTGATGGTGATGGTGATGGTGATGGTGATGGTGATGATGGTGATGATGATGGTGATGGTGATGGTGATGGTGATGGTGATGGTGATGGTGATGGTGATGATGATGATAGTGATGATGATGGTGATGGTTATGATGATGATGATGATGATGATGATGATGGTAATGATGATGGTGATGATGGTTATGATGATGGTGATGATAATGGTGATGGTGATGATGGTTATGATGATGGTAATGATGATAATGGTGATGGTGATGATGGTTATGATGATGGTAATGATGATGATGGTGATGGTGATGATGATGATGATGATGGTGATGATGATGGTGATGATGATGGAGTTGATGATGATGGTGATGATGGTGTTGATGATGGTGATGGTGATGATGGTTATGATGATGGCAATGATAATGGTGATGATGATGATGGTAGTGTATGATTATATTCATTGTGACAGTGACAATGATGGAGTGGATGACAACGTTGCTACTGATTATTGGCCTATTTTTTTACCCGTTTTGCATCCAACTCAGACAATCAAAAGGCCTATAAAAATGCTTAATTACTCCATTTTTAACGTAATCAACAAAAATACTCAACAAAGCATGTGTTCTCTTTACTAAAACATTCCTTAAGAAAGACTTCCTTTTCTTGCTCATTCATTTGCTGTAGCTTGAAGGCACAAGTCGACGCTTCACCAAGCGAGATTGCAGTACATTCATGAGATCTACTGAGACGGGTATCATCGACCAGGTCATGGTCAGCATCAATCAAGATGGATACAAGTTCTGTAAGATCAAGGTCAGTATTAAGGGTTTTGGGCCCCATCGGATATTTCACTTAAAGAGAAGGTTGAGTTCTGGGAAGAGGTGAAAATTAATTTGTGAGCGTAATCATTTGCTATTATGTTTGTTATATTGTTATTATGCAAGGGTGGAAGAATCTCAGATAAAACATGCTCCCTGAAAAGTATGGCTCTTTAAATGCCTTTATATTCTAAATATGGCATGTAACATCATAAAAATTGTGACAGATTTTTAAGCCACATGTTCTTGTATTCCCATATACATCCTTCTGTGTACAGTGCTTGTAACTTTACCAAGACTTGGCAAAATTCCTAATCATTTTGATGATTCTAGAACCTTGCCATACACACATATACGTATATGCCAGATGATCAACCTTTTCTGATCAATTCCACACCGCTTCTTTCACAATGCAATCGCATGACAAGAACTCAACTTTATCTTTAAAGGTTCTAGTTGAGTTCTGGTCATGCGATTACACTGTGAAAGAAACGGTGTGGAATTGATCAGAAAAGGTTGATCATATAGCATATAAGTATTGGTGTGTACTGCAAGGTTCTGGAGTCATCAAAATGATAAGAAATTTGGCCCAGTCTTGGTAAAGTAACAAGCACTGTACACAGAAAGATGTATATGGGACTACACAAACATGTGGCACAAAAAATTGGGCCTCATTTTTAAGCTGTTGTCATATTTAGAATATGAAGGCATTTGAAGAGCAATCCTTTATGGGAACATATTTTCTCTGATGTTCTTCCGCACTTGCATAATAACAATGATCACGCTCACAAATTATTTTTTCACCTCTTCCCAGAACTTGATCCTCTCTTTATGGGTGATTATCATCCCATACAATGTACAACTTTATTAGTCAATTTCATCCAAAATGAATATAGCTCTATATTTGACCATTGAGTAATGGTTCTTTTGTTGACACTACCACTACCAATGGAAATGTGAAGAGATTTTTTAATTTGTGGGTGAAATGAATGGATAGAGGCATGTCACATGGGACATGCTGCATGGAGTCACCCTTTATTTATTCTAAATGTCAAGTACTTAAACTTGGCATTAAGAATATTTTAACAAGGACATCATTTCATATGGGAATATCTATATACGAACAAAATAAGACCTAATCTCACAGGATTACTAACAGAATGTATGGCTTAATGAAACATTAAGATTCTGATCATGTTTAAAGATGATTAGTATATTGTCTTCTGGTACACTGGAAAGTGTATTTGGACAATTTTTAGGAAAGAGAAAGATAAAATGAACTCCTATTTTTCTTTTATTACATTCTTTGAAAGACCTGTTGTTTTGTGCTTTAACGATACTTGTATTTCGTGTTCTAGGTGAGGTCCGTGAGAACACCTCAGATTGGAGACAAGTTTGCTAGTCGTCATGGTCAGAAGGGAACCTGTGGAATCAAATACAGAGTTGAGGTAAATAGGAGCACAACAA